GGAGATTATATTTGGATGCATGACTTATTAGAAGAGATGGGTAAAGACATAGTTCACCAAGAATCGCCCACTGAACCTGGAGAACGTAGTAGATTGTGGTCTTATGAAGACATCGAGCATGTTCTTGCTAATAATACAGTAAGTAAATTAAGATAGTGTAATGTTTTATTCAATTCAATAACTAACATCTTGTCCATTAAGTATAATTATCATTATTTTAATTTTGAAGAAAAACAGAAATTTGAAACTCTTGCTTCTTTTTTTTTTTTTTTTTGGGTAATAAATACTTTGTAACAATAGTATATTTTTCTTTTTATGATAGGGAACAAATGAAATCACACGCATCGTGTTAAATTCCCCTGAAAGAGAAGATGAGATATTCTTGGATGTTGACTGCTTCTCGAAGATGAAAAATCTTAAAATTTTCATAATCTATAATACGTGCCTTTATGGTGACATTCATTATCTCCCAAACTCGTTGAGAGTTCTTGATTGGCATGGATGTCCGTTCCAATCTTTTCCACCCAAGTTTAATCCAAAGGAACTAAAAGTGCTCAATATGCCTCGCAACTGCATCAAACAACTAGGGGAGGGATTGAAGGTACTTTAAACTATCTTTCATCCCTTATTATTTTTAAGAGGTCTCGTTTATTAACTAATGTATGTGGTTAATTTATTTAATGCTATCCATTTGATTCTTTTTATTTTTAATTTCACAGTATTTGACAAAGTTGACATCTATGAATTTCAATAGATCTCAATTCCTAACTCAAATCCCAGACCTATCCGGCATCACAAAGTTAAGGTACTTGAATGCGAATGGTTGTAGGAGTTTAGTCGAGGTTCATCCATCTGTTGGATATCTTGATAAACTTGAAGTATTGGATTTTTGTGACTGCCATAAACTCACGAAGTTTCCCAATAAAGTTAAGTTGAAATCTCTGATAATTTTTCGTCTTTACGGTTGCATAAAGTTGGAGAGTTTTCCAGAAATTGTAGACAAAATGGAATCCTTAAATGAATTGAATCTTGGGAGAACTGCTATAAAAGAGTTGCCAGCATCAATTGGACATCTCATTGGGCTAAAAAAATTGCGCTTATTTGAAAGTGCTGTAAAAGAGTTGCCTGCCTCAATTGGACATCTCACTAGGCTGAAAGAATTGAGCTTATCTGCAAGTGCTATAAAAGAGTTGCCTTCCTCAATTGAACATCTAACTACACTTGAAGAGTTAAATTTAGAAAGAACTGGAATAAAAAAACTACCTTCATCTATTGGAAATTTCACTGCCATGAAAGGATTACTTTTACAGGGAAGTGATATAAAAGAGTTGCCTTCATCATTTGGAAAACTCACTGCCCTGAAAGCTTTATGCTTAGATGGAAGTGCTGAAGAAGAGTTGCCTTCATCAATTGGAAATCTCAATGCGCTTGAAGAATTAGGTATACAAGGATGTGAAAACCTTGCAAATCTGCCACATAGTATTTATGGGTTGCACCGTCTCTTTTATATTAATCTTACTAGATGCCCGAAACTTGTCCCACTTCCAAAAAATAACTTGATCTCTGAAGTTTTATCGAGTGCAGAATCACTTCCTTTGGAGGTTCGAACCAAATCATATAGTTTCTTCAATGGATGTCAGATATGCTGGATGTGTTTTAAAGAGTGCAATGTATCAGACACTGATTCGTTGGAGAATTTTGGTGGTTGGTTTGACTTACCAACAATTAATCCATCCAAAAGAAATTTTTTCTGTCTTCCTATGTGCCTTAGCAAAATTTTCTACTTGCGGGACCTTAATTTGAGTGGTTGCAAGAGGCTTGTAGAAATTCTAGTACAACTTCCTACGTCTACAACAAGGATCAATATGGTTGATTGCATATCACTCGAAAGATTTTCAACATTGTCAAAGATATTGGAAGACGGTGACATGCCATATACTAATTGGAGGGACGTATGTAATTGCCATCGACGCGACGGTTGGGAGGTGACCCCTTCAATGATCGAAGAAACTTTACAGAATCAGGTGACTTACATATCTTTTTCTCATAATTATTTCTATATAATTAATATGCAGACATTACAACTATTTAACACTATACTATCTATGCACGTTGCACACACGACTAATTAATATATATGCCTGTGAAGTTCCAGAGTGGTTCCAGAGTGTTACAGATGAAGAGGAATAAGATTAAGGTTAAACTACCTGGCAGTGGTAGTGAAGTTCCAGAGTGGTTCACTTTTCGTAATTACATTGTCAAAGATACGAGCGAAGCTACTTATTACGAACTTCCTATTGAAATTCCTTGGACTTCCGGATTGGAGAAGACAAAATTGGTTTTGTGTGCTGTTTGGGAATTTACGGAATCATTTGTTAGCCCTTGTCATCTTGAATTTAATGTATTTAATGCATTTAATTTTTGGGATGGAGTAAGGATGCACTGTTTTCGAGATGTGTGGTGTGTGTCAGGAGGAGAGACAGGGGCAGGTTATGTGTGGCTGACATGTATACGTGCTCACGTGAAGCCATCTCCTATTTTTCGAATTGTTGTTTACGGCAAAGGGTTGATCATCAAAAGCATTGGGGCCCACCTTGACGGTGATGATGATGGAAAATGAATTAGATGATGATGCAGCTGATGAAGTTCCACCCAGAAAGAGAACAAAGATATGACCTCTCTCTGCATTCCAATGTGAGATCTCATCACTTTATTTTATTTTATTTTATTTTTTATTATTAGCCTCCCTTTCAGCACAAAATATTTTTACACGTTGTATTGTTGTTTACCATTTAGTGTGTTTCAATCGTAGAAGAAGTATAAGTTAATTACGTTTTGGGTACTCTCTTAGGTGTTGAAAACTTACTTTGAATCTAATGCCACGAGATTATTGTAACAATGTGAGTACTTTTTTTGTGGTTTAGTTAGCGTGTGATCTTACATGACTGTTATAATTGTGTTAGTATATGAGTAGGTTGTTTGCTCACGCCTCATTTGTTTTTATCTTGCAGATAATTGAGTGAGTCATTTTCCTCTAGGAAGAGATTATAAGCTGGGTGCCCCAAGTGTTCGTCTTTATATCTTTAGCATGTCCTTATTTTCAGATATTTCTATTTTTTAATGCCTCTTGGCGCCGCGAGACACCTCAAGACGACTTCCTCTTGATTATTTTGATGCCATAATAATGACCTTGTGTTGTATTATTAGTCCTAATATGAACAGCGTGATGTATTTATATTTATTGTTTTGCTATCTTCTTATGTAACAACGTCAGTATATGCTGAAGAATGTAAAAATACATAAATTCATATCGGTTGTAGCTGTCAGTTGGGTGCCACGCGTAAGTCCTTCGGACTCAAGTTGTAGGCATGAGAGTTGTTTTATTGTGAACTAGCTTTTGATTGAACCAAAAGCTGGTCGTCCAGATTATTATATAATATATAACTATATATATAATTTTATAATTTTATTGTCTTTTGATTAAGTATTATA